TTTTCGCTGTGCGCTTCTGGAAATGCCTAGAAAGTTGGAAAAGATTCAAAGAGTACTACGAAGTACGGACAGGAATACACTTCGGCATTCTGGACAAAAGATTCAAGTGTTTTTGGGCACATTTTTGTTCACGCAAACGTTTCCGACAATGAACACAAGTAAATGTAAATTGTAAAGTGAAGGGAAACAAAGTTTCGTCTTTCAGGAGGTTCGTTAATTCTCAGAAGCGCACAGCAAGAGTGAGCCACACTTTTGTGGCCCCTACATGAGCCTACGAACATCCAACCAATCGTTTTGAAAAGGGGCCCTACGGCATGAAGGACCCCTTTGTAAGAATCGAGATTAATAAAGATACTTAAGCAATACACGACTGCGCGCTTATTAGCACTTTTACGAATGCTCGTTCTTCCAAGCGTATGTTTAGCAAGAACAAGAACGATTCCAGATGGAAATCCCTCTCAAATGCTGCTGAAATATCAGCCAGGAAAGAACTCAAACTGCTACATTTATGCCAATTGCAAGGTGAGGTGCCGAGAGGTTCTGCTAAACCTACGCTTGGAAGAACGAGCATTCGCTCAAAAATCCAACTTATCTCGAGCCGTAGCAAACAACAACATATGGCGAAGAAATCCTTTTATTACTTGGTGTTATTCTAAACCCACTCCAACAACCATTAAAATGTAGCCGAATAGCTCATGTTCACAACAAACTGCATATGACTCACGATTTTCCCATTTGATAACTGGTCCAGGTTTGCATGTTTGGTTATTTGTTTAAGCTGAAACATAGATAAAAGGAAAAAGAAGTGATGTAAACAGAAAAATCGGGATATATGCTCAGTACCTCTCCGTCCCAAGCATTGCTAGCACTTTGTAGCAACGCTATTCGCTCCGCACTTGTGGCAGCAATCACGTACTGGCATGTTCTGCAATAATAAATAAGTGCTTAATGATTATTAGATCGTTAATTTGAAATTTGTGACATCCACACACACACCCATATAAATCTGCACCAAGTTTTTCATCAATTGCACATTTGGCATTAATGTGTGGGAACGAGACCAGAGAATATGTGTCTTGAACATCAAATCTGAAACACGCTTCATCAATAAAACCTATGTGAGTTCGGAAAGCTTGCAGTAAAGTCTTAACTTCCTGCTCGAAATCCCGTTTTCAATAGAGCAAGCTCACCATCGGATTCTTCTTCGGACTCAAGATTAACCTAGACGTTCTAGAATCTCTGCGAATTGAGAAAACATAACTGATTGGGTGAAAGTTAAAACGAATTGCTAGTCAAAGGGAGTCAAAATATTCAAGTTCAAAGCAAGACTTTGACTTTGACAAGGGACAGAACCCCTACGTATCATCTCACCTTTTTACTGAAGATATGAAGAAATAAGGTGTTTCGAGACTGCTCTGCATACAGCCCTACATGGGTGAAGCAAAAGCAGGCATAGGTTTTCAGGCACACGAAAAGACCACCTGCAATCGAATATAATCAGATCAAGTCCCCAAACACTTTAGGACCGCGCCCACATCCTGCGACACTGAAGAATCTGAGTATCGCGAAACTGCGATAATCGGCGAAAAGGAGTAGATAAGTACCGACTGATCCCTGATTCTCTTAATCAATACGTATACTATATTTTTCGCTGATTCTGCAGTTTTCCGTTAACAAAACAATACAGCAATTCTCTGCAAGATATGAGCCTATCCAATCATTAATCTCAATGCTTGAGAATTCGTTATATACAGAAATATTTTTGCCATCCTCCACATACAGCTGCGGAAAAAACTTGGAACAAGCCTGAAGCTCTTATTCAACAGCAAAACAGCGGAAAGGTAAGCAGATAGCGAGAACTCAAGATAACAAGAAGAAACTATTCAGAAACTACTTAATTTGGTTTTCTTAAATTGGACTTGATTGGAGCCTTCACCATCCGTGTAATCGACTCCACAGGAGCTTCGGGCGCATCAACGGATATTCAGTTCTAAATCCCCAAAATGGAGGGAACTGCTCACTGCGTTGGTGATCTTTTTTGACACATGTCAAAGTCACCTCAAAGATGCCTGATGGGGTTGAGCTGGAGACTTCACTCAGTAATCCTGGAAATTACATGCCGGAACCAAGATCTCACATAGTTCTGCGTTTGCTTAAGATCGTTTCTACTGATCTATGAACAGTTCTTCCAGGCATACCTTATGTACCTTATTTTTTCGGTACAAAAGTTAAGGGAAGATTAACCAGATCTCACAACATTAATTCCAAAGAGCCGTCAGAGTTTTAAGACCATGTCTCGAAAAAAAATGGGGAAAGGACCTAGCGCCCACAGCTCTGCCTGCCCCATTATCTTAATGAAACGTAAGAAAACCACAAGGTGTCTCTTTGAGTAGGATGGAATTTCCGAAAAATAATGACATTTCATTGACCAAAAAGAATAGTACTTCAAATTGTGAGCCAAGAAAGACAACAATAACAATTGTAAACGAACGCCTTCATCTAATAGTAGTTACTAAATGGTCACATACCTGGAAAGAAGGGTGTTCGGAAGCAGTATGTGCATTCCTCTTTGAAAACTTTTGTAGCGATATCTGGCACAGTGAAAGACGATTCCTTGAGGCTAGCTCGAAAACGTTCAGGACAAACCGGTTCTTCGGCATCTTGTGGGACTGCCATTGACCTCTAGGTTCACCCTGCAAGGTAACTATGGATACATGTTAGGCAATAAAT